AAAAAAAAAAAAAAAAAAAAAAAACCTGCTCAATTACACAGAATTAACATTTGCCACCCACAGGTCAGCGAGGAAAAGGAAACGGAAAATGGTGGCACGGCCATTAGGTTTCGGGAGCGACGTGTTCTGTCATTTGACGTGTTTTGTTGGGTGAAACCGGGGATTGTTTAAACTGCAGTGTTAATGCAGAGACACTCGAACCCTTTTAATCTTCATCTGTAGGACAAACAAAATAAACAGTAAACACACATTATTTCTTGTGGATAAAAAAATAAGTAAAAAATTCTAAATTAATCTCAAATCAGTTTCTATTTTCTTTATTTTCTGAATATAGAATGAAATACTCAGACTTTTTTTTTCTTTTCTACTGGGTGTCACACAGCTCTCTGTCAATTATCCTAACAATCACTTAAAATAAATAACCTGCGACCACTTTCTTCAAATGTTGAGGCTGCTGGCACAACATTGTGGCTTTGTGTTTACTACCCATCCTTTCCTTTCCTCAGTTTTTCTTATTTAAGAATTAAATTCACAGACACGGCTCTTGCATAATCTCTCAATACAGAGACAAATTAAGTCAGGGGAAAATAAATTGGAAGAAAGGTATGCAAGTCATAAGCTATACATTTTATGCATTGAAATAAACAATATTTAATATTTTTTATCCTCCATGCTTGTTCCCCCCGTTCCCATTTGGTTTGCCTCAGTGTATTTCCTCCTTTTCCTGCCTCAAGCTCAGCCTGTTTACACATTTAGACTTGGCTTTCACTCAAACCAGTCAGATAACTGCAAGCTTAAAGTTTGTGCAGCTGTCAAAAAAAAAAAAAAAAAGAACGAAAGAGCTCCCTCCACTCGGGCTCTCGGCCATCATTTCGCTGCTTGTCGCGTCATGAGTCACATAAGTTATGCGTCTGGTCTCATCTGTGGCTTTTTAAAGCTCTGCTCTTCAGTCGATCACCAACACGAGTACGACTGGCTATGCTGTCCTCACGCCGCAGCGCCGCCCTGAATATGATGACTCCTCACACACACCTTGATGTTTGACAGTGTGTCTGCCGCTGGCCTGCACATCCCGGGCTTTTTCTACTTCCAGTCAACATTAAATTATTAACAGTTCAGATAGTTGTGGGTTGTTGTTTTGTTTTTTTTCTTCACATTTTGTTTATTTCAAGGCAAGAAGTGGTGAACTGACTTATTCAGGTTAAGTACAACTTTGTTTTAAAAGTTTTTCACATTATTTTTGGTACATCCATTCTGTCTGACACAGAATGGATGGAGCTGTTTTTAAAATGTCAGATCAAAAACCCGAGTCGTCCACACACATCAGTGTCATCGTCACTGCACACTCTGAACAAATCCTACTGCATCTGGAACCATGATATTTCTCAGTCACATTAATAATAATAACAATAATAATAATGTATGACTGGTGAAGAACTAGTTTAATGCATCTCTTTATGAAAAGATACTCCGTCGACTAAAAAACTGGAGATGCTCTTTCAGTGGTCTGATGTCTTCATCCCTGATATATTTGATATGAAAGGCTGGCCAGCTGTTGGTTTAACAGAACAAGAATAGTAGGAAATTACCGGCTTACAGCTAATGGAACAGGACAAAACATTATATTGAGCTTGTCAGACATCTTTTTGAAATGATGAATGCCCAGTGTTGAAATAAACAATTCAATCTGGATCAACTCACACAGAGAAAAATAAGCAGTTAGAGGATTTTAATGAACAAATCTTTGGCGCTCGAACCGGCGGAAGACTAATGAGCGTAGATCGCCGGGGGGGAGATGCTGAGTCCGGCGAAGCTCACTAGTCTTACCCCCCGGTCCGAATACTGATGATGGAGCAGAGCCTTGGATGGAGGAGCGCGTAGGGCGCCTGGAGAATGGTCATCGGGCTGAAGGTGGAGATGGGGAGGAGGTGGGCGAAGCACAGCTGACGAGCAGGCAGATCCCCGGAAGCTCGTCTTCTTGAATGGACCGGCTTGACGTTGATTGGCTGGGACGCGCGAGGGCGCCGATCCTGATTGGCTGCAGCAGGGTGTGACGTGATTGAAGAGGATCAGCTGTGATGTAGATCAGCTGTGTTCTGTCTCCCAGCTTGAATTTACGCCTAAGCTCCATAATATATATTTTTTAAATGTAGCTGATCACAGACTGTCTTAAAGAGTTTGTTCTGTGCATGAAATATTCCTGTCCAGATTTGGCATTGTAATAAAAAATAATTGCTCCCTTTTTATATTTTCACAATGTCAAAATTGACAACTTCGGTAAATTAAGTGAGGAAAATAAGTTATGTTTTTTTTTTTTTTTTTTTTCCTTTTAGTTAATGAAATGCTGTTATCATGTTTATGGGCATAAATGAAATTTCCAGAAAGTTTCCAACTAGTTTTACTTTCTTATCTTATTTCATACATTTGCTTACGCTGGCTAAGCTTTTTATTAACCTAAAATTTTAACAGGTACTCATACACTTTTGAGATCCACATTGTCTGTAAATGTGCAGGAATAACAGCTTCTCTTTTTCCTTTCTTGGTGATCCAGTGTCTTCCTCATCTAAGTCTGTCTTTTCAAACACCCCACAGCCATGGAACAAGCAAAAGACACCATTTCATAAATCAGACAAGTATTTTTAAATTATGCTGACCTGCATCCATGCAAAAACATAAAAAATAAAATCTGCTCCATGTGCTAGATACCTGAGACAGAATCCCTCATTTAAACATCCTTCACTTTTTGTCCCTGTTCATCCTGAGTCCTTTTTCTCTCCTTTACTGATTTCTTCCATGCAACTCCAAATTCTGTTGCGCACTCAGATGCACACATACAGTAAACACACAATAGGCTTTCAGCACAATTATATTGTGTGTAGTCATGAGGCGTGAGAGTCTAAACAGAGAGTGACAGAGAAATATGAGGGAGACGTTTTGAGCTGCAGCTTGAAAACCCAGATGGTAAAGGGGAATTTGGGCAACAGTCAAAGAGACTGGGGCTTTTTTTTATAGGTCCATCTGTAATGCAGTCATAAAATGTTCTTGTCTAATTCAAAAATATATGAAATACAGATAAATTAAATTAATAGCATGGTTTAGACGTAATTTGACAATTTTGAATTTGGTTAGCAAAGTTTCATACCGGCTTGCAAGTCAGCGTTTTAATGACACAAAACCTGCAACATGACACACATTATTGAGTAATCTGGATTTTTTTCCCTCTTAAACTAAGAACCCTTTACCTTGCAGGAAGGTCCTGGGTTCAATTCCCAACCTGGAGTCTTTCTACATGGATGGATTCTCTCTGGCTACCATAACTTTCTCTAATCTATCATTCATGACAAGTTATTTGTGAAGCAAAGTGTCTTATCCTCTAACAGCTCATCCTTTTCGGTGCTGACAAAGTGGTTCAGTTTCTGTTCACCACTCGTCCCTTACTCTCATTTCTGATGCACATACTTCCTGTAGTTGGTTATAAATTTAAACATTACTTTGCAATGTTGCTTCACTTACAATCCCGGGTTTGTTTGTGTTAGCATTACGTTGGAGTTTCTATCTATTTATGTGTTCAGGTTAAAGCTGCTACTTCTGGATTATTGGTTGAATTTGTTTATTTTGTTTCAAAGTTTATTTATGGTCCAGTATCAGATTAAGTGCTTTATATTTTGTGTTGAAATTATCTTAAAACTTGGGCTCAAAATAAGCTGAAACCCTTTAGCTTAGCCTGGCATGAATCTCTAAAGCAGATGCTCACTTTAGCGTTGCCGGTGGGGTGGACTCGCTCGTAGAGGAGATGCTCCGTATTTGTCCTCGTCACAGCTAAGAGTAAAGCTGACAGTTAGGAAGAGGCTATGTGCTACCAGTGGCATTCAAGCCTTGTCCATGTTGTCTGTCTCAAACAGATAATTAATTGGTCTTTTTTTTTTTTTTTTTTTTTTTTTTTGACTAGTGCGTTTGTGTAAGTAGCACACGTTTTTTAGGCATTTCCCTGCTGCCCATTCAAATGAATGGGTGATTAACTTTTGCAGCACAGTTTGGCATGGAGAGAAGGCAATGAAATCATCTGAATCAGCCGTGCTGGAGCAAGGAGACTTTTAAAACACAAAGAACTGACGGAGGAACTCTGTTTTACGGTGACAATGTTTTGTCCTTTATGAGAGGAATTATTGCATAGATGCTAATGCAAAAATCTTCATTTCTGCGTTGCAGTCGTGTCCAGTCAGTCAGTCATCCCAACACACCCACCCATCCCTGCCAAACGCACATTAACATGCATCACCAGATGCTCAACCGTGTTTGCTGATGTTGACTGAAATTTACGGTCCGCATGAGGTTGAACAAAATTAAACACTGCTGTTACACAGAGAAGGATTCTGATCGGTAAGCAGACAAAGTCCTACAAACGAAGGAGAAAAAGGGCAATAATTTAAAAAAAATCACTTATTTATTGAAAGAACAGTTTATTAATCTAATGCGTTGTGTCATATATCCCAAGTTGATCAGTTACTTTAGGTCGTTAATTGTGAAAGCTTATAAAAGCACTTTCATATTTTGAGATAGTCTAACGGTGAATTAAAATTCATTCTTTTTTAGGTTGTAATAAAACATAATTATACCATCAATTCCAGACAATTTTGAACCTCGAAAATAATAAAAACGACAACGCTTCCTTTGTGTAATATGTATTCAGCTGTCTGCCTTTAGTGGAAGCAGCGCCATTATACTTTACAGTCTGAGTAAGTGGTAATATTTCTCATTATATTTTACAGAACAGAAAAAACTTTTATCTTTCATAAAAGTTTTTCCTGTTCTCTTTGGTAAAAAGTTGTGAGAGAAGCACCACATGTTTTCTCCTTAAGTTTCTACTTAAGTGGGACATTTTGTTTCCAAAGATTTGTTCAATTCTGTGAACAAATGTTGTTTTTTTCCATTAGTTGCCCCTTATGCCCTTGTGGTACATTTTGAATTTAACGCAGTTTATTCTTCTTCTTTCATTTGAGGTTCGGAAATGGTTGAAGCCCAGTGTCAGAGGTTCGAAGTGAAGAGCGCTGACGGCGAGAGGGTTCTGTTTTCTGCGGACGAGGAAGAGATCAGCATCGGAACAGAGAAACTTAAAGTCACAGGTAATGTGCGTACCGCCAACAGTGTGGACTGCGACGTAGCTTTCCACACGTTCACATCGTTTTTTCCTTGTGTAGTGTGGCGATATTACTAACACAGAATAACGTTGGTGGTGGGACTCCATTGCAGGTCTAAACAAATTTAGATCAAAAACAATATTTTGACAAAATAAGCAACCTTCTCAACTCAAAACACCTCTTTTGATGCAAAATTATTCATTATGAGCTCATAAATATACTGATTGTTTTTAATTTGTTGTATAAGAAATGGTGCAAAGTACTGGCATAAACTTTCGATTTTCAAATGTCTCAGGAACTCCTGGTTTTTTATATAACTTGCACACACTTGTCTTCTCTAGCGTCATCAGATTTTTTTTTCTTTTTCATTCTTTTACCATAAATATTATTGTTTTCTGCTTTTCTACACCAATTTATTCTCTTTCTGAAAGGAGCTCTCATGAACTCAAGGCAGCAGTGACTGTCATTTGTTCTTTTTTTGTTTTCGGCGACTTAAATCCGACCACTGAGGCTTCTAAGAAAGTATTCATGTTCAATCTCTGCACCAAATTATAAAATCCACCAGTAGCTCAGTTTTGTTTGATTTTCAACAATTGAAACAGTTTCCAATCAAACGCTTGAACACTTAAATCATAGACATTTTCTGTCACTTTTTCCCAATTTTCCAAGAGTTTTTTTTCGAATGTTTTATGAGAAATAACTCAGGCACAGTGCGAGTCGTTCGAAGTCATGACTGAACTCAACGTCTGTTTGAATAATTACGCTAAGCTCTGAGGTTTACACTTGTCATAAAAGTGTGCTAGAAGTAAATGTTCATTGAAAAGTGGATAGAGCCAGTGTTCTACGGTGAATAACACAAAGAAAAACCTTCAATAATCACTCTGAACTCATTTTGGTCATGATCTTGGTGATGGGTATTCAAAATACGTCTTCACATGAACCCCATGAATTGAAGTTTGAAGGTGAACTTGTGCTAAATCCACTCCCACAGACTCACATAGAGCTGAAGGCAATTTGGGAGATTTGTCCATTAGAGTCACTCTGAAAGAATGAGGGCAAAGAGGTTTAGGGCTGGAGGTGATTGCTTTTGTCCTTTCCTGGGTGTGGGAGGGAAGAGAACGACCAACCATCCAAAAGAGCCACGTAAACCTCTATGCTCACTGTCACTGTTTGGGTTTGCTGGTAGTTTTAAAATTTAAAAAGAGTAACATTACTACACGGATTTTGTCAGAGTGAAACCAGCTGGCTTGCCAGTTTCGGGTCACCGGCTGTGCTTTGAAAACACACCCTGGGTATTCAGAACGGGGAAAGGTGCCGCCAAGCCGATGGTGACAAGCTCATAAACATTTCATGCAAACAAGAGAGAGGTGACAAAATCCCCAAAGCAAGCTTGGAAACAAATGCCAAATTCCTGTTGGCAAGATAAGCTGCATTGTGCGAAGCTCAAACGACAAAAAGCCCACACTAATATTCCTAGTATGTAGAAAATTGAGTTCTGATTCTCAGAGCTTCCGACAAAGGAACGCCGCCCTCTTCGTCTTTGAACGGCGACCGTCGTCTCGTTATCCGAGGGCCCGCCGGTGACTTTGTCTCATGCAGTATTAAATTTGCTGTGGTGCTGAGCTTTCGATATACCATCTATCGTCTCAGCAAGAGCCACTGCCAAACATCTGTTCACAGCTGCAGAGGTGGCTGCCGGACACAGGGGGCTAAGCACGTCATTTTATCAGAGCCAGCCTTTTTGGGTTTTTTTGTTTTTTTCCAATAGGAGGAGGCGCGTGTTGGGAGGAGGATAATGAAATCTCAGCAAAATTAGTTGGAGCCTGTTTACACCCTTACTTTTAGCATCTCATTAGATGAGATGCATCAGCGCCGACTTGGAGAATAAAATATGTCTAACTAAAATAAACTTTCCAGGATTTAGCCTCCATTTCTTCACACTGCTCCTGAAATGAACACCGGGGCAGGTTTTACTGGAAATGCAAAATGTGAACAATTGACATAATTTCCGAAAAGTGTGACCTCCATGGTGCAAAGACGTATGATGAAGTTGGTGTCATTTGATGTCAAAATGACATCATTTTACTCTTTTTTTTTTTTTTTACCTCTCTGCAGGCGATGAAGGAGTGGTTTTTAGCCATTCTGTCGAGACTTCACATGTCAGAGCAGAGCCATTTCAGGACCTAAAGTAAGTACTTCAACTATTTGTGTCTGTGTCGTGGAAAAGTTAATATAGTTCAGTAATTTGACAAATAAAACAGTGAAACTCACACACAATTGGACATATTTTTAAGTGTTTACTTAACTGATTACTATGGTTAATGGAACTCCAAATGCAGTTTCTCAGAAAACCTGAATATTGCGCTGCACTCATTAAAAACAAAATCAAATATAGAAATGTTACGCTCTGGCAATAATATGCACGAAGTGGAATTGTCCTTTGATTTTATATTTTCCCGTCAGAGGGTCTGAAACCCCTTTGGGATCAAAGTTCAGGAATCGTATGCTCTCTTCTTCCATCACTTCATCATATTTATTCTGTAATCCCCACACACGGTTTGTTACCATCACCCCCAGCCCAAATTTCTTGGATCTTTCCACTTCATTTCCACCTTTATTTAGATGCCCTTTTAGGTATGAATACAGTAACAGAGGTGTTAATGTGCATCAACTTTGTGACAAATTTAGATTTCAGTTTCAACTTTTAAGTCGTGGAAAAAAAAAAACTTTGAAACGCTTAGATAATTATCAGGTGTATTTGAAGAAGGCTAGTGACTTCCTTATTAGCACTGTCAATCACTTCATGTATGCGCTGCTCGCACCCTCCCCCTAGGCCTCTGCTGCACTAAATTTTCTACCCCGTCAGCAGAGCCTGTGGCTAGTTAGCTAAGCACCCACCATGGACCCTATGATGACACAGATAAGCAGTTTTTCTGTAACACTAAATTGTTTCTCCGCGATTGACACAGTTGCAGCACATATACAAGTATGATTTACGAGTGTCCATCACATCAATCGTGGTTCCGATTGGTTGTTTTCTGACTGAGCAGGGAGAAGGCAGAGAAGCTCAATGTTTTTCACAGGTTATCTGTCACATACTGTACTGCCACAACATACAGACAGTTTTCATAAATGTGTAAAAAAAAAACTAAATCTAAAACTTTGTTTTAAAATTAAACAATAGTGGTGAGAGTTAAGGGGTTTAAAAGAAGAAAAGTTATCTAATGACATTGCAGTAATGACAGGGACCAATTGTTTTACCTTTATTATATGTAATTCAAACATTTTCATAAATATGTTCAGTCAGGCTACATTTACAATCCCCATGGAAATCCCTGTAGGATAGAGATGTGACTCAACCAGAGCCTCCCTGAATTTATGATATGACTAATCTTGGTTGAGAGAACATGGTGTTAAAAGATTCTCCCACAGTGGAGTGGGGGGGAAAAATCATTTTACTGCAGGAATATAAAGAAATGTAGAAAGCAGAAACACTACAGAGGCTCTGCAAGAGTTAAAATGTGGGAGAGAAACCGAGGTACATTAAATGTTCTCTGGTAGGTAGTGAAAAAAAAAGACTGGAGAGCAGAGACAGAAAGGAGTGACACTGAAATCTGACACTCAACAAGAGTGATAGCGGCAGAAGCAGGACTGGGGCAGGAGGTGATAAGGACTGTCAAAAGAGAAGGAAGTGAGAGGACAGAAGACACTGAGACGTAGAGAGAGAGAGAGAGAGAGAGCCAGAGAGACAGAGAGAGAGAGAGAGAGAGAGAGAGAGAGAGAGAGAGAGAGAGAGAGAGAGAGAGAGAGAGAGAGAGAGAGAGAGAGAGAGAGAGAGAGAGGTGTTCACCGTAGTGGAGAGAAATTAGAGCCAGAAAAAATAAAGTCAGTTGCTTAAGCGAAACTGAGGTGCAGCTGAAAGAGGAAACAACCAGGGCAGTTTTCATGATAAATTGTGAATATTAAGTGAAGTGTGGGACCAGCTGTTAGCCTAAAACCAGTGGCTGATATGTGTGTTTGTCTCTGAATGATGCTAAGTGAACGCTGTGCATTGCATAATTATTCTGTGACCTGTTCTGCTTGTATTTTTACATATCATCACATCATGTGTCAGAAAATTACAAACTATTTTACAAAACCAAATGCATCATGCTGTTTTTGCACTTTTCCAATTTTTAAAATGCATAGAAACTGAATTTTTTGAACCCCCCAAAAAATGTATAGTACTTTTCCTTTTTGTGGTTGACATGTTTTTACACAATTTGTTTTTTCTCTATTTTCAATGACTTGGATCAGTGTAATTAAATGTAATCCTAGCAAAGATCAAAGGTCTTTTGTCGGTTCAGTCACACTACACTCAGTATTTCAGAAATGAAACGTCTGATTCCAGCTTTTATTTCCAGTGATTACAATTTTATTTCTCAATAAGTTTTAAAGAAAACACGGTGAATACAGAACAATATGTGCTCAAAGGTCAGAAGAAAACTGAAAGTTTCAATAACAACAGTGGCAATAAGACCTTAGAACAGGAAGAACCATTCAGTCAGTATATGTAATATGTAGCTCTGGAAAAAAAAATTCTCTGATTTTATTCTTTATAGGTCTTTGTTTGAATAAAATTAACATTGTTTTCTTTTATTCTATGAGCTTTAGTATTTATTTGCAGAAAATGACAAATAGTAAAAAATAAAAAGTTGCTTTCAAACCTCAAATAATGCAAAGAAGTTGATATTCATTTAGAAACAATAATCCTGAGGTTTTAACCCAAGAAGAGTTCAGAAATCAAAAATAGGTGGAATAACCAAGAGGTTTTCAATGAGGTTCAGTGCAATGGTCTCTTAACTTTTATCATTTTATCATTTCAAAAACAATTAAATTCTATTATAATTGCAGGTTATGGTATTTGATTCAGTCATTCGACTTAGGTGACTTGGACCAGGGAAACATTTAAATGTTGCAGGACATCTGGCCCTCGATTATTGGGATCGAAGTCCCCAGCTGCAGACGATCAGAAACCAGAGTGGCTGTGTTTGCAGACAACTAACAACTGTGGCATCAGTGTGGAGTTGGAGAAATGCACCATTCTGCCTCAAATTATTCATGTGAATTGCAAGAAGTGGTGACTTTAAGGAAACAGGAGGAGCAATGAGGGAGTTTCACAACAAGAAAGACGATTTGAAAAGCCGCTACTGGCTTTGTCTATGAGGCCAACATCAGAAAGAGGTCATGATCCACAGAGTAAATTGGTTTTGACAAGTCTTTAAAAACAATCATCAGATCAGGCCTTGGCATTCAAAGCTTCCGCCGAGTAATTTAAAACTTCTGTAGAAGCAGTGAAAGTGGTATGTTTACCTGCAACTGAAGAATAACACAAAGTCCAAATGTTTCTGCTGCGTTTCACGTGAAACAGGAAGTAAGGTTATCGAGGCTTTCTGATGCTTTCTCTAAAGGTCTTTGAAGTTTCACTGTGGAGAGAGAGAGAATGCTCTTATTTCATAGTAGTCACAGGAAGACAGCAAAACTATTACAATTTAAATTTACCGCTGGCTTTTATTGGCAATGCATTATTTAAACCAAAGCTCAAAACTTGTACTCATTTTTATCAGTAAAAGAATTTTTGATAAACCAACTTATATAATTGGACATAAATCATTTCCATTGACGAATTTGATTCCTCTTGCGTTGGTAGTTTAATGAAACTTCACTGAAGCGCTTCGCTTCTGAATAAACCCAAGTCTTCACACATCACACCTCCACAGAGTAACTCTCTTTTGATTTTACTTCAGCCCTGTTCCCTGTTTTCGGTCCCTAAATCAATGCTAAAATTAAAGGTGCTACAGAAAATGCAATCGTGGCCCCTATGATCTGAAACTCTTTATTTTACTCAGAGCAGAAAAGAACCGACTCTCAGGTGCTGAAATCGTCTGTGTTAAATTTTAACACAGACAATAGAGCTGTAATTTCACCATTTCTTCTTTGTGAACAAGAAAACTAGCAAAACTGTCAAAAAATAAAAAAGTTTCAGCATCAGATTTTAAATGTTGAGGTAAGATTTAAGGAACTTGGGAAGTTTGATGCAAAGTGCAAAGAATAATCTAACATGGTTTGTAGCTATGGCAACAGAAAAATCCATCTGATGCTATGAGTTTAATCTTTGCGTTTGAATTTGATTTGTTCTCAAATGCACCTAAGCAAATGAAGACCAATTTTCAGTGATTGCTTCTAAGGTCGGCCAATTAAACTCGGCTCTTTCTCCACCGAATCTGTGCTGAAACGCTGTTAACGGTGGTGATGTTTTTAATAGGAAGTCATCTCCTAAATAATATTCTGCCTAAGGCCCCGATCGACCTTGGGCCAGCCCTGCTTCTACTCATATTCTGTGAGCTTAGCGGACTTGCTCAAAAAGCGCCTGAGGACTCATCTGCTCAGTCCTCATCTGAAAACAACAGAATAAGGCAAAAACACGATAATGAGGTTAAAAACATCATCATAAAATAAAGAAATCTGCCTAAAAGTTATCTTCTCTTTCAGTGCTGTGGAAGTATTCGTCAGATTCCCAAAGATTTCCCATAGGCCTAATTGCTTTTGTTTTGTGAATCCTATTAAAATACAAAAGAGTCTTTTCAGAGTTTTTAGTCGATATATACCGTATTTTCCGGACTATAAGTCGCACCGGACTGGTTTGAGGGAAATTTATGTGATAAAATCCAACACCAAGAACAGACATGTCATCTTGAAAGGCAATTAAAGTCAAATAGAGGCAACAACAGGGTGAGCAATTGTACGGTATGCTAACGTTACATGACAAACAACAAGCTGAGAACGTGCCTGGTATGTTAGCATAACATATTAAGAGTTATTCAGATAACTTTAGCATAAATAACATGTTAACAGGTTTACCAAGCCATCCGTGTCTCTCCAAATCACTAAACACAATGAAATCTTCATCTTCGGGGTATCAACTCTGCTAACTCCGAAAGTAGAGTAACGCAGGCCTAGAGCGCCCTCTTGCGGTTTAATGTGAAAATAACATGTGATGTGATATAATGATGTGTTAATTTCCACACATAAGTCGCTCCGGAGTATATGTCGCACCCCCTGTTGAACTATAAAAAAAACTGCGACTTATACTCCGGAAAATACGGTAAATAAATAGTAAATAAACAGTCACCTTTTGACACAGATAAC